GCCTCCCAGAGGAACACAGCTAGTCCCTGCCTGCATACACAGCTCGCCTCCCAGAGGAACACAGCTAGTCCCCGCCTGCACACAGCTCGCCTCCCAGAGGAACACAGCTAGTCCCCGCCTGCACACAGCTCGCCTCCCAGAGGAACACAGCTAGTCCCCGCCTGCACCAGCAGCTCGCCTCCCAGAGAACACAGCTATCCCCGCCTGCACCACAGCGCCTCCCAGAGGAACACAGTTAGTCCCTGCCTGCACACAGCTCGCCTCCCCGAGGAACACAGCTAGTCCCTGCCTGCACACACAGCTCGCCTCCCCGAGGAACACAGCTAGTCCCTGCCTGCACACACAGCTCGCCTCCCCGAGGAACACAGTTAGTCCCTGCCTGCACACAGCTCGCCTCCCCGAGGAACACAGCTAGTCCCCGCCTGCACACAGCTCGCCTCCCAGAGGAACACAGCTAGTCCCCGCCTGCACACAGCTCGCCTCCCAGAGGAACACAGCTAGTCCCTGCCTGCACACACAGCTCGCCTGTTTCAGGGCATTTACAGGTCTCTGAGGCCAAGGCTTGGGTCTCAAGTCAACAAGCTTGGAAAAAAGACAAGACGGAAGGCCCTTCTTGTCCTGAAGTCTGTGGGTATCTGGGGTGGGGACCCCAGGCAGCCACGAAGCACATTACTACCTAAGGGCCTGGTATAGGCTTGCTTTGGAGTTTCAAGTCAGCAGCTATTTTTAGCCTGGTTATACATGGCCAGGGAGGCGTGAAGGCTATAGGCAGGGCAGTGGTGCCAAGAGGTCTCCAGCAGGGTTCAGGAGGCCAGAGCCCCTTTGCCTGTACCACCTTCCCAGTCCCACGAAAGACCTGCAGAGCTTACCCTCCAGCCAAAGAGACAAGCAAGGGGGAGACAGCGGCTCTGTGCAGATGGGAATGGCAGCAGCTTCGATGGAGATGCCAGGAAAAGTCACCTTAGAACCGTGGTTTTCAAACTTATTTGACCCTGATCTGCAGTAAGAAATAAACTTGACATCATAACACACACATAAACGCAGACATTTTTATACACACACACACACACAGTGTATATCTCCAACTGAACAAATATTCCCGGAAACAACATTTTATCTTATTCTCTGTGAAACAATGTGATATTTTCTATTCTAGTCTGTTCTTTCATTTTAAAAAATGCAGGTCACGACCCACTGAATGGATTTCACCCACGATTCATGGGTTGACACCTCCAGTTTAGAAAACCACTGTTTCTTTGGTTCGGAGCAGGCACATTTGACTGCCAGGTAAGGTGGAGAGTGGAGGAAAGAGAACACATGGTCCCTTTGATCACTCCATCTCAAACCTACGGATAAGATACCAGTTTCAGCTTGATCTCTGGCTGGATGGCACGTTTTGTACCTCCTGGCTTCGTACACTGTTCTCTTGACCTGGAGCATTGGTCCTCCACCCTTGTCACCAGGCTAGCCCCATACTCCGGAGCCTGGCTCACCACTTACTCCAGGAAGCCTCCCTAGGTGCCTCTCTGGTTAGCTGCCTGCCTCTTGCTCCCTGAGTCCCCTGCCAAGCACCCAACACAAGTACAATTTCATGTTAGAGTCTCTGGAAGGCAGGCTCTTCCATTCTGATCATTTCTATACTCTACCCCAACTACCCAGAGTAGTGTCGTGCTGGCTTCATACCACTCAATACATATTTATTGAATGAATTAATGATAGTTAATAGTAATGAGAGCAACTACCATTTATTGAATGTCCATTTATCCCAGGAGAAATCTTAGGAGAGATTAGAGTAAGTTCATTTTATGGATGAGGAAACTAAGGCTTTAAGAGACTAAATGAAGCGATCAAGCCAGGATGTGCAATAACTCGGGCTACCCGACTCCCAACCGTTTCTAATCACAGGATCTTAATTGTCCACATTCCCCTCAGTGCTACCCACGATGGGGCAGAGGGCAGGTCCTTAACAAACCCTCGGGGAACTGATGACAGGTTGATGAAAGAGATTTTTCCAAAGCAGTGGCCACATCTAATTTTGGAGAGTTGCACCTCCTGTGTGGCTTGGGAGAGAGAATCCATGAGGTTTCCAGGCTGCCTGAATGTGGGGTGCTCTCATTCGGGACAAGAGTCTGGGCTAGGTCTTCTGGTTACCTGAGCACACCTAGAACAAAGCCCAGGCCCCCTGACATGGCCCATGCCCACAACTCCGCGCCAACCCCTGCCAACTCCTCTCGGCCACTCTGTTCCTGACACCCTGGCATTCTTGTTCCTCACACACTCCAAGCCCAGTCCTGCCTCAGGGCCTTTGCAATGGCCATTCTCGCTGCCTGGAATTTTCCCTCTAGAACTCTCCACCCTGCTTCTCAGACTGCCCTATCCAAAAACATCACCCTCTTCCTTCTTTGCTATTTTTCTCATAACATTTGCAACTAATGGGAATTACATATGTTCGTTTTCCAGTTTATTTCTGTCTTCTTCATGAGACAAGGAACTCCCTGAGGACTTTGTTCACTGCTGGGTCCCTGGAACTCATGTGGGATGCTGCCTGACACATAGTTGATGCTCTATAATGTTGGTCGCACGAATGAATGAATGAGTCCCTCCCCACTTTAGACATATCAGGAGATCAGTCCATAGGTTCCCAGAAATGTGTGTCCCTGTGACTCACACCAGGCCCCCAACACACACACACACACACACACACACACACACACACACACCTTGGTTTGGAGAGAGGGAAGAGGAAAGAGAAAAAACATTTGGCACCCATGTACTATGCACCACTTTGCAAAGGTGACTGGCGCCCAGCAAGCACTCATGGGTTATCTCCATCTTACAGACAGAGAAACTGAGACTGACTCTCTGCTTATCCCCCGTGCTTAGCATCTTGTGGGGCACAAACATCCAGTGAATTGAACTGCACTGAATTGCAGAGGTTCAGCAGATAGCTCTAGGTCGCCGAATTAGGAAGAGTAGCACCAGACTTTGTCCTCAGAGCTGTTCAGTTCCAGCCAGTGCTGTGCCGCCGCCACTGGGCACACACAAAGTCCAGGGATACCCCCTCGTTAACATCCAGGCACTTGGGAGGGCGGGCCCTCGCCAGACACCCACCGACAGGCAGCCCAGTCAGGAGCCCCTTCTGCACCGGAGGATGCCCGAAGGCCTCAGCTAGAGCAAACCCTCCACCCTGGGCTGACTACGTCCTTCTGCCACACCCCAGCCCCCTGCCAGACTGCCCACTTCCTGCCCTCCGCTATAAAGAGGGCAGGCTAGTGGCAAATATAATATACAACAAACGTCCTCTGATGCCCTATATGTGAGTGTGTGTGTGTGTGTGTGTATTTTTTAATGAGCCGTAGTTTTGAGTTCTCTGTGTCAGCACCTCTTCCCAACAGGGAGATGCCACAGAATGATCCTGAGCGGAAAGGACCCTCAATGATCACTTGAAACAGGCGCCGGCAAACTTGTCCTGTCGAGTCGGACAGTGAATCGTCTAAGCTTTCAAGTCAAGAGACAAAATTGAGGATGCTATGTAGGGACTTTCATATAATTTTCATGAGTCACAAAATAGTGCTCTTCTGTTGATTTTCCCCGCAACATTTCAAAATGTAAAACTGCTGTCAGCTCCCAAGCAGCACAAAAGCAGGCGGCAGGCCGGCCTGGCCCACTGTCTCAGGTTTGCAAGCCCCTGATTTAAAGCCGTACTTCTTAAGCTTTAACATGCGTAGAAATTGCTTGCTGAGCCCGACCGGTGTGGCTCAGTGGTTGAGCGTTGACCCATACACCAAGAGGTCGCCGGTTTGAGTCCTAGTCAGGGCACGTGCCCAGGTTGTGGGCCAAATCCCTGGAGGGGGGTATGCAGGAGGCGGCCAATTGATGTTCTCTCTCATCGATGTTTCTATCTCTCTCCTCTCCCTTCCTTTCTAAAATCAATAAAGGTAAAGAAATTTTTTTAAAAGAGAGAAATTGCTGGCTGAGCTTAAAATAGATATCTGGGTTGACACTCAGAGGTTCTGATTTCGCAGGTCTAGGAGGGACCCCTGAATCTGCCCTTATTTCTAACTGGTGGATAGATGATGCTGCCGGTCCACTGACTACATTTTGAGCAGTACCGATATTTGAAAACACCCCATTTTATGGATGAGGAAAGTGACGCCCAGATAAGTGATACAGTCAAAGTTACACCCAGCGGACGAGGTGATGATATCTGTGCTGCTACTTCCCAGGGCTGTCTTGCCACAGAAAATTCCTCTCCGTTTCCTGCACGCATGGAGTCCTCTCATGCCTCTGAGCTTTCTTCCTCATCCCTCTCTCGCCCACTCTCACCCTCACAAACGCAACTTTCCCATCAAGATCCAGCTCGGATGTCCCCTCTTCTAAAGCAGTCTTCTCTTTACTGCCACGGCCATCTGTACGTACTCGTGTACGATGTCTACGAGCCTGTCTTTGAAGCCATGGACCGTAACTTACACCTCTTTATAACTAACCCTTTTACCATGCCTGGCAAATAGGAGATGTCACGGAAATACGCACTGAACAAAAGGATGCAGGGATGCATGGAGGGGTGGGTGGGTGGATGCATGAATAAATGGATGAATATTTCATGATCTGTTCCTTGGAAATAATTTGCATGGCGAAGTTGAGCCTAGACCCCCAATCTCCTAGAGCCCAAGCTAGAGTATATTCCACGGCTGATGACAAACCTAGCTTGCAAACAGCAGCAGTTACAGCGTAATGAACGCGTGGAGCGTGTGTTTCTACGGCAGGCCTTGTACTAAGCAATCCTGCCTGTCTTCTGCGGAGCCCCGATGGGGGCCCCACCTTTCCTAACAAGAAAGTGGATGCTGAGAGAGGTGGAGCAGTTTGCCTGAAGTCACACAGCCAATAACGTCCTGGCCCCTCTGATTCTGTGCCGTACGGCCCCTTGCCCCTCTGCCCTCCGCCAGTGTCCCTCAGCCGCCTGGCCCCCGCCCTGGCTCCGCAGGCCCGGCGGGACTCACCCCCGTCTGCGTAGGTCTCGGTGCCATAGCCGTCCTGCAGGCCGTTGCTCCAGGTGCCCTCGTACTTGGCGCCGCTGCTGCTGCTCTGCCGGGTGCCGTAGCGTCCCTTGAAGCCGTGCGTCCACTCGCCCTTGTAGAGCCAGCGTCCCTTGGTCTCTATGCCCAGCCCGTGCCGTTTGCCCTGGCTCCAGTATCCCTCGAAGGTGTTGCCGCTGGGCCAGGTGTAGACGCCGGCCACTTCGAAGCCAAAGTTCCAGGAGCCCGAGTACTCGCCCTGGCCCTTGGGGCCGGTGCACAGCCCGTGCCCGTGGGCCTTCCCATTCTCCCAGCCCCCGCAGTACGCCCCGCCGTCGTCGAAGTCAAAGCGGCCGCCGCTCATCTCATCATAGCCCCTGACACCCGGACTGCCCTCCAGCTTGGGGGTGGACGGCGGCGGGGTGCCAGCCGCCCTCTCGAAGCTTGCTCAGGCTGGGCCCCCCACTCACCACCGCCGCACCCCAGCAGGGGGAAAGCAAGATGCCACCAGAGGCTGAGCGAGCCCAGGAGCCAAGTCAGCACTGGGTCGGTTGGTCAGTGCCATGCCTGGGAGGCCCCTCAGTCAGCCAGAGGAAGGCGGCCAGCGGGGAAGGGAGCGGGAAGGCAAGATTCAAAGCCTCCAGCGAGCATCCCGAGTCTGGCTTCCATGGAGTCAAAGGGAAAATGCTGGGATCCCTTTAAGAGGCACAGTGAAAGGTGGGGTGGAGGGGTCCCCAGTCGTCTCAAAGAGGGGAAATTCCTCTACTGACAGTCCCAGCCCCCCACGCTGAATTCCTGCAGCCGGCTGGCCCCCTTCTCCTCCACCCCGTGGGTGCGCGGGGCTGTCGATCTCCTCGCTGCTGTCCCGCCCCTGTCCAATCCTGCCCTCCTCCCGGGACAGAAAGGTCAGTGTTGCCCTAACAAGGCCATTGGATCTCAGAAACTGCTCCCAAAATAACCCCCTGGCCAGCCCAGCCTCCTTCAGAGTGGGAGGGGTGTTGCAGATTGGGCTGGTGCTTCAGACCCGGGGAGTGGCTGGAGGGTGGGGACGGGAAGCTGAGAACCAAGTGTAGGCAGCGGGGGCAGTCTGGTGGCTCTTCTTCCCTGGGTGAGAGCCCTCTTCCACCAGAGTCTGCGGGAAGTGGGGGCAGAGGAACTGGGAAGGGAGGGAAAAGGAAGACTAGCAGAACAGCCTGTCCTGGCACACTTGAAACCCCCCAGAGCAAATCTCAGCCCCACCACTAACTACTCACATGCCCTCACAGGTCCTGGGGCTATGGCACTACTGCCAACCCCAAAAAAGGAATCTGGTGACCTAGAGAGAAAGGAATGGGGCCTGGTTTCACGCATGCTTTTGAAAGCAGAGGAGGGAACTTAGGAAGAGAGGTGAGGTCCTGGAAGTGGGGTCTGGAGACAGCAGATCTGAGCCCAGAGCTCCTGCACAACCCCAAATTCCCTCCACCCGGGGACCCCAAGGAAACCCTGGGAGGAGCAGTCACTCCCTTTCTCCTACAGGGCAAGTACCTCCTCTGAAGGGTGAGGAGTCTGTCCTCTGAGACACAGTTGCCAGTTGTATTGGAATGAGTTCCTCTCAGAAACACTCAAGGATCATGATTTTTTTTTTTTTAATTCTCTGTCCAAGCTCTCTCTCGCTGTGGTGTCCTAAGAGCCAGGCTTCATAAAGCTCCTGGGGCAGGGGCAGGAGCACAGGGCCTGGGCGCATTCCCAGCATTCAGGTTCCCAAGCTCCAGTGAAAGGGATGGATAACTCTCCATGACACAAAGCTGTGGCCAGGGCTCATGACTGGAAATCCCAGCTGAGCCCGGGGTTAACAGGAGCATAGAGTAATTCTGAGAAAGGTAGGAACCACCAAGAACAGGAAGCTGTGGGGTGTGTGTGTGTGTGTGTGTGTGTGAGTGAGAGAGAGAGAGAGAGAGAGAGAGAGAGGGAGGAGAGACATGGGGGAGGGGAGGATAGAAACCACTAAAAAAAGCAAGCACAGGAGGCCCTTGGGAACATGACTGTTGTCTGACTTCTGACTTATCATACCCAAATCGCATGATGACTTAGGCCACTTAAAATCACTGCAGAAGTTTTCTTTGTTTCAGAAATGGATAGAAAATGTTCTCTCCCTTCCTCCCAGGCCCCCGGCCTTAAAGAGTGCCTTCTGTGTCCATGTTTCACCTCCAACACCCAGCCTCTGGGCTCAGTATCACCAGCTGTTTGCCAAGTTGACAACAAATAGCAGCAGATAAAGGCTGGACCATCTGGACTGTGTCTCACCACCTAGCCAGGTTGACTGACACAGCCTGCTTGCACACTTCACCGCTAAGAACACCTCGGTGCTGCCCCCAGACAGTTCTGCTTTGCTACTTCTCACCTAAGTCTTTGGAGAAGCACACGTTTCTTTCTAGCTCTGTTCTCAAGCGGAGCGGAAAGGGCATCTCGAACTGGAAGCCAGAGGAGTCTGAGTTGCCCAAGTTCAATACCCTTTGTACTTAAATGCCAAGCAAATCGCCGTAATTCTGTTCTAAGGCTGGGCGGCTGTTGTGTCATAGAGAACTGCTCGCCTAATAAATTTAGCCACTGTTCATCCGTGCAGCTCCCTAGAGTGGTTCCCTACCAAGGGCCTGTACTTGTAAGAGTCACCCATCCCGGACCTACTGAATTAGATTGTCCTAGGGGAAGGCCAGGGCAGTTGCATTTTTTTTTAAAAGCTCAGACAAATCTGACTCCCATTCCTGGTTAAGAACCACTGTATGTTGTCAAATTAAGAAACTGTTTCTTAATAATATTTATATACTCATTTACCTACTTATTGACCAGAGGCTATGTGTGTTACCAAACTGAAGGGGTTTGCACTTGGGGTGCGCTATTAAAAAATGAGACGTGGGCCCTGGCCGGTTTGGCTCAGCGGTTGGAGCATTGGCCTGTGGACCAGAGAGTTTTGGGTTTGGTTCCCGCTAGGGACATGTACCAAAAAAAAAAAGAGACGTGGGTGTTCCAGGATAGTTTTATTTACTTGCTGCAAGTAGAGAAGATGGGGGATTCCTATCCAAAGCCCTGTCTCCTGGAATGGAGGCTTACCCATTGCTTAGATACATTATTTGGTCACTTTCATGTTGATTTCTTTTTTTTTTTTTTTTTTTTTTCAGTTGGCTACTTTCATCCCCTTGAGTTCTTGTCAGCTCATGCTGTTTACTGCTATATCTGCAAAATACTGTGCTACATTTTAACAGTAAGCAAGAAATAACATTTAGTAAGAATGGCCCAGACCTTGAGACCCTTGTCCTATCTAACATGTAGCATAGACAGTTATGGAGTTAAATATCTGTTCAAATCCCAGTTCTGCCCCTCACAAGCTGTGTGACCTTGAACCAACTGTTCATTTCTCTAAGCTACAAATTCCTCATCTGTAAAAGTACCCTTGTCAAAGGGTTTTTAGTATTAAGGATAACAGTATCTACCTTATATGGCTGGGTGAAGATTACATGAGTTAATACTGTAAAACATTTTTTTAAAAAAGGACTTAGAACACACTAAACAACTAAGAAATGTTAGCTTTTATTAATATTATTCTCACAAGATAAGTTACTTTTCAAACTATCATGCTTAATAAAAAACGTCAGCGAAGAGGGAAGAGATCACTCCCTAAAGATGAAGTACTTTGACAGGAAAAGCATTTCTTACTCTTTCCAGTACTGTTTACTCAAGATTACCCTGCGGTTTTTCATTTTTTAAACTGATAAACTATGTTACTGTTAAAGGGACACTTTGATTTCTTAAATGTTTAGGTAAATTCTTTGCCAAATTTGCTGCTGGCCTTACCCTGACCAGGGTTGAGCTTCTTGACCGGCCATCACTTTTTGGCCCCGCCCTTTAAACAAGTGCATTTCAGGGAAAGGGAGACCTCTTGTGGCCTTATGTGCATTACAACAGATTTTCCTTAGATTTACTAAACTCGAAGTGAATTTTTTTTTAATTAATGAATTTATTTTTGTTACAGGTATTTCTCCTTTTTTCCCTATTGACACCCTCCTCCTGTCCCTCCCACCCCCCAGCATTGTTGTCTATGTCCATTGCTTATGTCCATATGTATAAGTTCTTTGGTTTATCGCTTCCCTCCCTGCCCCCCTCCTCTGAAGTTTGTCAGTCTGAACCCTACTTCCATGTCTCTGGGTTCGAAGTGAATTTTAAACTGTGTTTAAAAGTATCTATCCCATTCCTCTTTTCCCCAGGTTTTTCTTGCTCCACTGTTCTTAGGTCAGATGGGGTAGTCAACCACTTGCTTCCTGTGTGTCCTCAACTTCTCAAGATGCGAACTGAAAATCCAGAGCAGAGAAAGAATGCACACAGAAACCCACTTGAGTTCTCCAGGACATTAAAGACTCTGCTGAAGAAGCCTCACCTCCCTAGACAAGTTTCCTGGCTGGTTAGGTGACTTCCACATGCTGGCTCCTCCCCCAAACTAGGAGTTGTTTGAAGCAAGGATTATCTTCATTCCAAAACAATGCATGCACACCTACTCTGTGCCTGGCACTCTGGCTCATTTTGCATGCCCAGTGCCTGCACATAGTGGGTGCCCCGTGTCTCTCCTTCTCCTTAGCTTTTGGCAGCTGACAGCTCCCTTCTTGAAATGTTTTCTCATTTGACTTCTAGAACTCCTCTCTTGGTTCTGCTGCTCCTACTGTCTTTTGCTGGTTCCTCCTCATCCTCTGGACGTCTATACCCAAAGAATGTCCCAGAGCTTGGTCCTTGACTCTTTTTTTTTTTTTTAATCTTCACCCGAGGACCTTTTTTTTTTTTTTGCATTTATCTTCAGATAGACCGACTGATTCTTTATCTGCATTCACTTCCAAGATGATCTCCTTCAGTCTCATAGTTTAAATATAAACATCCATATACTGACAACTCCTAAATCTGTATCTCCAGCCTGTACCTCGTCCTATATCCAGCCACCAACTCAACAGCTCTATACAATGTCATAAGCATCTCAGACTTAATAAGATCAAAATCAAATTCCTAATTTATCCTCCCGCCAACTCCTAGATTATGAAAACCACTGAAGTCATCCTTAATTCCAGTCTTTCTCTCACACCCTATGTCAATCAGCAAATCCCTTCAGCTGTACCTTCAAAATAATTTCAGAACACGTCTTCTCTCCTGTACCACCTAGTGTCCAAGCCACGAGAAACTATCGCCTGGTCAACTGCAGTAGCCTCCTAACTGCCCTCCTTGCTTCCCCTCCCCTGCTCCCCTTAGTCCGCACACAGCAGCCAGTGCTCTTTGAAAAGGCCAAGTCTGGTATTATGTCTCTTCTCCTCCAAATCCCCAAATGGTTCTGTCTCCTCAGGAGTCAAAGCCTTTAATATGAACTACAAGGTCCTCCGTGATCTGTCCGTGCCCTGTTTCTGTTACCTCACCTGCCTCAAGCTTCAGATATCCTTGCTGTTCCTCCTGCCAGGAACGCTCTGCCCCCAAATACCTGCACGGCTTGCTCCCTCACTTTCTTCGGGTCTCAGCTCAAATGTCACCTTATCACAAAGGCTTATTTGATCACCCCAAATAAACAGGAGCCTTCCCCCCTGCCCAGCCCTTACCATCCCCCAATCCTTCTCTCTCCATGGCACATTCTCTGAGGACAAGGATGCTGTTCTACTTACTGTTCTCTTCCCAACACCTAGTAGTAGAGTGTTTTCTGGTGTGTTGTAGGCACTTGATAAATGTGCTGAATAAATGAATATTCAATGAGTAATTATTAAATAAAGGCATATGTCAGGATGCTACTCTTCAAAACATCAGAGTCTAAATTCCTCAACCCACGATCTGAATCTATTTCCCAGGACACG